AGAGGCTATGGTAGTGAACGTGCGTGCACACCATGACCGCTGCCACGAGCCTTTCATCTAAAGTGCTGTGATAGCTTCTTGTGATGTTTTGCAACACGAGATCACGTTTCCTTGTGTCGTTTTTATAAGCAATACAGGTCTCTCGAAGGCCCCGTCCTAGGCACAGTCGTAACACAGGAAGTGGGGTTGTCCGCTTCCTCCCCAGAACCCCAATAATAATTGGGGTTGTGTGGCTATTTATACAGCGTGTAGCTGGTCAGCCATTTCAAAGTTGCGACGAGTCACTCGCTGTAGATGGCAATTTACCCAGTGCAGTACAACCGCTAGCCTCGGGTCTTTAACGTGCACCACGCAGTACACTGTTAGCAAGTCCCGTGTATTTGGCGAATATTTGGGGTGAAAAACACGCCATTTACACAAATTACCATAAATTTACACGATGAGTAACGGATAATTCGTTCAGAAATCATGCGAGGTTGTAAAAAACGTGTTTTGGTTCGGTCATACACGCATAACCGTGTAGCCGACCTCGAAAACACGCATCGCCCCCGGCGACGACCGCGGCATTGCCGGCTATCGAAGCACCGGAATGCTTGGGGACACACTTAGAAAGGACCGTCGAGACAAATGCCGCGGAAAGAAACATGTCTCGAAGACAGATATGCACCAAAAGCAATTGCGCCATGTCGCAGGACGTTGGCGAAACCCACGCTTACCGGGCTCGCCGCCATCTTCTGGTCGATGGCAATGCGGCTTGCTTCATGTCGCCCATGTTTGTATTTAGTTTAGGGCTCCTGATAACAGTTTCTTAGACACCACAAATAAAGTTATGGGTCTAATTATTCGTTCCAAGCAGTTAAAATGGATATAAAAAGCGTGTCCTCGATGTGAACACGTGACATTGCAGTTGGTTTCGTTTTTGCTTCAACCTTCAACTGCAAGCGATCTGGCCACGGCGCAAGCGCAACGCCGATGTACGCTGGAAGCAAGCGCCGGTTGGCTTTCGTTGTTTTTGTTTGACCGGAGAAAATCTGGCAAGTACGCATGGCGTCGCTACTGTTTTGGTTTGACGGGACACGAGAAGCTTCGCATAGAGCTTCGGAGTTTGCGAGCACATAGTGAAGACGTGACCGGAGAAGTGCCCCTGTGATGTTCCTGGAAGACGGAAAGTAGCATTCGTAATCGTCGTGTGTGCTTTGAAAGCGAAGGGAGTCACAGGGTCCACGAGTTCGCAACCACAAGCCAAGGTTCACGACAGCGCGGCGTTGACTTCGGCGATCTCGTTCTGTTTGGTGCAACCCGGCGATGCGAAAAAGAGCTGAAACATTCGTCGTGTGTGGTGCGGTGCTTTGTATTCCGGGTCTGTTTGAACCACGCTTTTAACACGGAGCGCAAATTGTTTGTTGCGTGGTGGAGGTTCAACGGGTACAGTCCCGTCGTCGTCAGCTGATCCGGTCCAGCTGGTCCGGGAGGACGCAACGAGCGTTTTTAAAAGTAAATCTTCCCTCGTTCCGTTTCGAACTGTGGAAGTATCCCGACACATACCGTGAGTAAGAAGCAGCGGGCGTTTTCAACAAAATTACATGGTTTTAATTGAATAATGGACTCCGGATTGTTGTCTTAAATCTGCCGTTTTTTATGCTTCGTGTTGGACTGCGTTTGCATAGCGACGCACACCGCTCGAGTATGATTCGGTCCTGCAACGAGTTTGTTGCGGCAATCATGCGGCGTGAATAAATAAGGGCAAGGTTTCCTACCTGCCCACAGATGCATGTACTGAGACCATTTTTTATGTTGTGAACGTAGTGCTCTTTCTTTATTTTGGAAGACGCGTTGGTGCATTTATTATGGTACAATCACTTGAGAGTTGAGAAATTAGAGAGCGAGCAAGCTTTCTCAACTTTGTCTCTTTCTCTCTGGCACTGCCCTGTTTCAGTTTCAGTAGGCATATCTACTAGCAGGTACAAACTGCTATAAAGCAGGTAAAAAACGGGAGCTTAGGACGGTGCGGACTCCGTGTTTCGCGCTTTTCGCAAGGTGACAGGGTAAATGCTTTTGTGAGATATGCGGAATATGCAAGCGATTTTGTTACGCCCGTCGTTTGCGTCTCTCCAGCAAAACGAATAAGATGATCTACTACAAAGGCGCAATCACAAGCCAAGATTTAAGATAGCAGTCGTTTGCTTCGGTGATCCGTGTAGCTGTATTTTACCCTGCTCTCTGCAACACCGTGTCATGACGAAGAGCTGGAATGGTCACGGTTTGTGCTGGCCTCCCGGTTGACAGAAACCCGCGTCGCCCGCATCGGCACCGAGTGCGCTTGGGCTGTTGATGCTCCAGCCTTTCATCCGCGGCTTGTCGCCAGCTCATCCTGCTGCTCAACGGTGAGGAAGCGGCGAGAGTAACCTCATAAGTGAATGTAAATCCTCGTTTATTCAGTTATCCGGTGTCAAAGTGTGGAAGATGTCCAACGTGTACTGAGGGCGGGAACTACGAGCGTTTTGCCTTGCTTTTATAACCGAAACCAGAACAACGAGATAACTGCCTTGCGTACTCTAAAATGACGGAAGCAATAAGTTTCAACAGGTCGAGTACGTCACCGGGGATGTAGGCGAGACGGTGCACACTGTTTAAACGCTTGCAGTATCCACGAGTGGTACCAGGAAAGCGACGTCAACAGAGAAGGAGCTCGCGATTCAGCATAATACACTGCTACGGGCCCGTGTATCTTCAAAGTTCGGGGTGGTGGCAGTATAAAAAAAAGACGCATCAGCGCCCCACACCAGTGTTCACGAATAACACCGGTCACAAACTCCCAAGCCCCACCGCTCTTCTCGACACCGACACGACATACGACAACAAACTGCATCAAAACGCCCCAAAAGTGAAGGCGTCTGCTCCCGTACTGCAACTGCTGCAACTAGCGGAAGTGAAGTGTTGGGCGGATGTCCGGATGTCCTTCACAAAAATATATAAAAAATGCTTTGCGCAAGGATCATTTTCGTTTATTATTGTATACGTAATGACAAAGTCCCAATAATTTGTTTTTCTATCTGATTCATGCTAGTCGGACTGCTCATAACACTGGTCAAGCAAGAAAATAACAAAAATTTGAACTTTTTCATGACCGGTTTAAGATTTATTGTTAACATATCATTATTTATTGCAACGGACTAGCATTATAGATTTTGCCTCCATACTGTTTAAATGCAAACAGTTCTAACACACGGCTATCCATTGCGCCGTGTTTTGTGTATTCTTCTATAAATCTGTAATGGTCAGTGACCAAGGAGCTCACCCGCACATGTCAAGCTTATATGCGCCGCGGGGAGAAATGGATATCGAGTAGGAAGTGTAGGGCGTTGTGTCGGTTGTTGTGTTTGTGTATATGTCGGTGCCGTGTAGCTGTGTGCTGTGTTGCCTGCGTCGCCTGCGTTGTATGTAGGGTTGCTGTGTGGCCGTGGTCGTTCCCAGTGTTAACAGACTCGTCTTTTTTTTAAAAACAGGCTGCTAGAAATCTCGATAGCTGGCGCAAGTTACCGCCCGATTCTAAATAATTTGCTCAAGTTATTTATCCATGTGAGTTCGGCATTCGTTTTTTTTCTTTTTTTTTGTCTAGCGGCTCGTTGAAGCTATTGACGCCGCCGACCGCCGACAACACACGTACGTACCTTTGCAAGTAGCTACGTCCGCCGCTTGGAGACTTTACTGTGTATAAAAGACATCGAACGAGAACTAACGCGCCCTGTGTGCTTTCAATTCGGCTGAAAGGCGCGCGGCTCGCTGGGCTCGCCTCTCGCCTGTTCTCGGCCGCTGGCCGCCATGCTTCATAAGGAACACGCTCGAAACGGTTTTGCGGAAGGCAGACACGGTGTAGCGTGTTAAGTTTACACAGCAACTCATGTGTAGACGAAAAACACAAATGGCCTCGTGTAAAACGAACACGTTTCGACGTGTCCGCTATGGGACAAACGGTTTACACGTCTGGGCGTGTTATTTTTGCTAACAGTGTAGTGATACACGACCGCACGACGGTACGATGCTAGCGTGGAGCGCTCTTAAGAGCCCAATTGTTAATATTGACACCTAGGTAGCGAGAAGTCGGTTTATCTTAAAATGATGTAGGGGGCCTCCTCTGTTAACGGGGAATGTAGTGGGTGCAGTACGACTACGGCAAAGACAGCACCTCTCACTTTTATTACCAGCACAATCACGAGACAAAGTATTGTCAGCTAATCTCTTAGTTTACGAGGGAATGTTTTTGGTCCTTAATTCGTTTGCAAAGTGAAAACGTTCAGATTAAGGTTATCTCGCCTATTATTAGCCCACAAAATGTCACCACGAATAGTAATCAGGAATAAAAACAGGGCGAAAAAAACGAAGGGCGAGTCAAAGAAACTGGAAAGACAAGCGCGAGCTGGTGAAGCTTTTGTGCATTGAAATGCGTATCAAAATCTTCATTTTGTTTGCTTGTGGTTTTCTTTGAACTTTGGTCTACTCTTTCGACGCGAATTAGAAGGAAATAATATTAATGAAATGACTTCCCTGTTATGAATACACGGGTGCATCTTTTGTATTTATAACACGGAACCCAGTGCGAAGAAAAAAAAAAAGTTAATCGTAACAAAACAAAAAAATGCGTTTAACACGCGTAGTGTTCGACGAGCGAAAACTTCGTCTTCCATTCCTAGATAATCTCGCGTGACGTGCATCGAGGCGTCACACCACAGACGGTGAGGGCGTCACATATTTCTCGCAAGATGTATTGCGGCGTCTGGTGAATACGCCCTGTTTAACGTCATCCTGTCTCAAAGAAGTTTGAACCTTCCCTTCTAGAATATATTTTATTAACGCCTCGCTTTATTTGTTTCTCTTGTTTCATATTCGTTCTGGTATTATCTAAAGCTTTTCCCGGCATAAAAGGTGGTGACGGCGACACGTGTGATGTACCCACAGGCAAGCAGGCGCCCTTGAATTCGACGATTTATTGAACGGGCTACATGGCGCAAACCTTTACGCTTCACCTTCTTCTTCTCTTGTTGGTGAGTGCAAAACTTGGTAAATAATGCACATCCGGTAGTGAGAAAACTGCTTATGCCGTCGTTCGGAGAGAATGTTTTTTTTTAACTCTCTTCTTATGATGAATTCCCCTCGCAGATCTCGAGCGCTCCAAAAGCGCTCCATTTGGCGCGCGCATATTGCGCTCGCAGATCTGACTCGAGCTGGTCATCTTCCCCTCGTAGATCTCTGGCAGCGCCCGCTCCACGGAGCGCCTCAAACTCCGCCATACTTGCTCTGCGGGACTTCACAGACCTTTCCGGAAGTTGTCAGAGCGCCTACGTCATTTCCTTGCGCGGCGAGGTTGGCGAGGTCGGCGGGCCGGTTGGGCCACGGTCGGGTCGTCGAGTTGGATCTGTTCGGGTGTGTCGGTTGTTTACGTGGGATAGTGAACGCTCAAACGCTTCTACCTCGCGTAGATCAGGGACACAAAGCTGGGACTGTGGAGCGTGGTAAACCGCAGGCACTGACATCTGTGATCGTGAGAGGAAGAACGAGAAAAAAATTACAAAAAAAACGACAGAAAAGCCGGTGCAGACGCAAGGTTAGGCCTGTTCAATCTGCAGCCAATGATTTTTCACCATTTTCCACGGCATTCCGCCAGCGTTTTCCCGTGAAATAAAGCAAGAAGAGATTAGGCAACGACCGTGCAAGTGATGGTTTGTTACTTCTCTGTTTATTAAAGTCGTGCCAGATATCTGAACTCCACCGCTGGCAATCGCTGTCCGTGCCCCGCCGCTTCGACGCGGCCGAAAGGTATGTGACGGGGCCGAACGCGGACGTCTTCGTTATTTGCGACATGAGCGCCGCGGTACGTATAATTTCGCCCGGCCTGTGTCGCATGTTATTTCTGCGTCAGAAAGATCAGTTGGTGGGCTTGTCAAGTTCAAGCAGCGGCCATTTTGAACGGCGGAAGGGGAAGCGGGGGGGGGGGGGGGGGGGGGGGGGGGCGGGGCGGGGTGGGGCAGGTTAGGTTGTTCCAAAAATGCGAGTTTATTTTCTTCTCGACGATTCGGAGCGGGTCCCACGGAACGGAATTTCGCCTCCCTCGCGGATTTTGGAAACCGCTCCGGATCTACGAGTGGAATTCACCATCAGTTGAGAGATTATTCGGCTTGACAATATTTATAAATGTGTACAATTTATCATTATATTAGACATTCGGTACATACATTGCATCACATTATACATCTGTACAATTCATCATTGACCATATTTATACATATTTACAATTCATCATTATACATCTGTACATTCATCTGTACAATACCATTTTATCATAATCAGAAGCGGTGCCGTATGCCTTCGTGGTATAGGCGAATTGCCGTTCTGCGGCGCCGAGGATCTCCCGAGTACAAATAAATATTGAATATCAAATCAAATATCAAATATATAATAAGCTAACAGTTCTGAATGATTTATTTTCGTGAAAGCAAGACGCTTTGGGGGGGTAATCATGAACGAAATGCCGCCACAGATATAACAGAAACTTCATACTTGTCCGAAGCTCCCGGTAGCAAAGCTTGCCGCCTGCCGCGCACAACCGATGGTAAACACAGACATGGTCATAGCTGCCTACTTCATAATTCAACTATCTTTAAAGGGGTCATGGAAGGATATCGGGTTGGAATGTTCGTGACTTTGCAGAGGCGTTCTGGTTCTAATCTGGGTCAAGTATGCTCTCACAGACCGCCACTGATTAGGAAACTTTTCCGTCGCGGTAAACTTGCGAGGATAAAAGGGGTCCAATTTTTTCCGTCTTGCCTCCACAAAGCTTGAGGATGTAATTGTGGGATCGAAACCACCCGCTCGACATCACTGGAGCGCGGCTCGTGGATTGAACGCGAGAACTGCGTGAGCGCTCGACTTCGGCTCATCACAATCAATGCTTTGTCGGACACTCGGGTGTATTTGCTCGTGTCCAGCCATTGCGGTAAAGACAATAGCTGAACTCTATACTTGGTCTCACCTTATCATGAACCGGCTTTATTAGATTAGCTCAGTTTTGAAACTACTCACAGACGCTGCTTGCACGAGCAGTACCCCCCCCCCCCCCCCCTTTTCACTCACCACGACTCGCCTCCCGATAAGTCGGATAATTACCTATATTTTAATTAACCTTTAGAGAAAATAAACGTGTGGTTTCCATTAGAAACCTTCTCAACGCCATCGAAAACCACGATATCAGTCTATTATAGAACGACGTTAAGCATGTGGAAAACGCGGGGGTGCACCAAAGTTACCACTTGGACAGTAAGCACAAAGCTGTCGGAGGAAAAACACGAATGATAATGTAATCATCCTCGTTCCTTACTGCTAGGTTTGCGCCTGCTGCACGGGTGGCAACTTTGGTGACACCCCGCGCTTCCCCACGTGCTTAACGTGGTTCTAAAATTAACTGATTTAGTGGTTGTCAATAATACTCTACAGTTTACTACTAAAACAGTATGCTTAGTTACACTATACTTAAAAGGTTGACTAAAAGTTTCGTTAATTATCCTTCTAATCTCAAAAATTAGCAGCATAAATCCTGTCCCCCTAGCGATATAACTCATCTGCACAAAGTACGCTTGTCTGTTTTTTACAGATTTTTTTTTGTAATAAATTTGTACAGACTAAAATCATACCTTATGGATATTGAGCGAATATAAATGCTTGCCCGAAATTGTTTCATAGAGCAACGTTAAAATTTTTATGTATATTATTCCATCTAAAAGCATGCAGCGTTAAGCCTTAGAACAGTGCGTTAAAAATCGCACGCCCATAGGAACACACAATTATGACGATGTTGTTCAACTCCCTTCTTGAACTGTTAAAGTAATAGGCTTAGAGAATATGCTGTCCTGAGAATTAAAAGCAAGTGATGTCCCCGATGGGCGTTCAAAGTCTCACCGCAGTGTGCTTTCTTTTCAATACAGGTTACTATCGAACCAAGTAAGTACACACTATTCAGACACCCCCTTTACAAATGCGTGAGCATTCGTTGATCTCACGAATATGTTCTTAAAGCTACCAGTTAATTGCGAGGTCATCTGATATGAGCTTTCGCGAAAGAGAGGAACCCCTTCTGCGAATTCTTTTATGGTTATTTTTTATATGCTGGGCGTTTTCCGACACGATCGAACAACCATGTCCCGGTGACCAATTTTAATTTTGATGAAAAAATATATTTTGCGGGCTCCATGCCCAGAAGAATAAAACCAATCTTGTTCTGGAACAAAACATTTTGTCTTGGCGAAAAACATTTGCAAGCACCCTCTCAGTCACGTGCGTGTTTTGTATATCTCGCGATGGTTGGTATTTCGGGCGGCTTCCCCCTAAAAAAACAGTTCTGGCTACGGGTCTAGAAATACTTACTGACACATTAGGCATAGGAAGGACTAACAAAAAGTAATAATCACAAGGTATTAATGTTCCTTTGAAAATAACAAAAATCGCAAATACGGCATATTGCGGAATAATGCTCTGTATTAAAATTTGTTTTCTCCGTACCTTGTGGTCGGTTTACCTTGCTGCATACCCGACTCGGAGAATTAACTCGGAGCCAACTGTTTCAACAACAAGAAACTACATTTAATTGGTCACGGACAAGACGATTAACATTGTTACCGGCGGCACCTGAGTCCAGGCAGCGACTCCCTGTGCGCCGCCTCTGATGCGCCTTATCAAGGCGGCGCACGCGATGCGCGCGTGCAGTCTGACCCCGGTTTAAGTTGCCGAAATAACGACTTTTTGCCATTTCCGCGTTGCATCGCGCGTGTCAATGCAGGAGCTGTAGGCGCGACGCTACAATCCCCACAACACTACTCGTAGGACGATGTCTCAAATCGACAACCGTATTTTCGGAAAAAAAAAAAAAAAAAAGGTCGAGATAGAACGAGGCCGTCGAGGTGCGTGACGTCAAGATATCTCGTTTCCTCCTCTCTTCGCTTGGCCCCCTCAAGGCGGCGAAGCGGAGAAGACGCGAGGCTGTTCCCTCTCCTTATAAAAAAAAAAAAAACAAGACTTAAACACAACTGTCAAAGATGCCTCCTTTAAAAAAAAAAAAAAAAAAATTCGGTCATTCGTTCGAGATATTGTTGTATGAGTGAGGCTTTGATGTTTGTAGCATCCCGTTGCATGCTTTTGCAGCCGTGTTTTGTGCAATCCAGATTTCGGTTCAGCATCCCTTCAAGGAGGCACGCACAATTGAATAACCGCACAACGGCTCAGTAGAATCGCGACGCATATTCTTTATCGTTGTAATGTTGGTGAACCTACTGTTTATTATGCTCCCTTTCACATTAGGTCTGAACGCAGTCGACGTTACAATCGGATGGAGCCAATCAAGCAGCGGCAGAAGTGCCTCGTCATGGCGATCGTCGCATTTGCGCGTTTGCAATCCCCGAATAAACCAATCACGCGCAGTAAATTCGCCCCCATCGCTCACTTTGTTTTACGCGTGATTGGTTTGGCCGGTGATTGGCTAGCCAGAAACGAGCCAGCTTAATATTGGTGGTTAGAATGCCGCGTGCCAAGTTCCTCCCTGAACGCATGGTCCTGCGGCATTCTAAGCACGGAGTCTCGCGGTGACTCGCCTTGGAGTCTGTAAGCAGATTGTCTTTTGTATGATGCATAACCAGTGCGACTCCTGCTTTAGAGGTCATATACTGCCGCAATGAACAAAAGCTTGATGTACAGTCGCAAGCGAGCGCGCGTTCTTTTTTTTTTTTTTCGAGGGGCACTTGATTGGTGGCTTGCGATAAAACTAGCGATGACGACAGGGCGATTCCATGCAGAGTAAACGGGGGAAGCCGCTCACTTCGAGGGAACCGCTGTTATCATCTGCGTGCGCCTGCGGGTGAGCGTAAGTCGATTGAAAAGGGAGATGATTCTGCAGAAGTCAAGATCGCCGAGCACGAATGAGACGGCTGCTCGGAAAGAGAGAAGGAAACACGTCGCATTTTAAGCAGCCATCTCATTCGTGCTCGGCGATCTTGACTTCTGCAGAATCATCTCCCTTTTCAATCGAACTACGCTCACCCGCAGGCGCACGCAGATGATAACAGCGGTTCCCTCGAATTGAGCGGCTTCCCCCGTTTACTCTGCATGGAATCGCACTAACTTATCGCAAGCCTCCAGTCAAGCGCCCCTCGGAAAAAAATTCGCGCTCGCGTGGAGCTATTCACTCCCACGGCGACTGTACAATAGCGTTTTGCTCGTTCATTAACGCTACCTTACTAGTACATTGCTACAGTTTTGTGAATATATTTGCATATAAGGAGGTTTTTAGTGCGTGTGTGTAATCTAAACGTCCGTTTAGCCGACGCGGGTTCAGCTTCACACGCGCTGCCATAGTCACCAAGAATCTGAGAAGAGTAGGGAGGAGTTTCAGCTGTCATGCAGCCAGCACGAGCTCGCTACCTTCGATGGTGCTTCGGCGGCTCGTGAGCCTCGTCCGGACACACGCAGCTTAAGCATGGCGGAAGTCAACGAGCACGTGCTGGAGCTCGAGCATCTGAGAGTGACGCCCTACTGTGCCCACCTTGTGAATTTCTATAGACGATTCCAGGCAAGGCGACTGGCCGCCGCCTAGTGTCTTACTTTTCTATTAAGAAGTATATGTGTGTGTGTGTGTGTGTGTGTGTGTGTTATTTACAAAAGAGCTTGCATCGTCTTGAAGCATTTTTGCACAGGGTGGGTTATACAAGGATTCGCAACACATCACTAGAACTTAGTTTCTCATTCTCTCTCGCTATCTCTCTCTCGATATATATATATATATATATATATATATATAATCGAAATTGTCTAGATGAATGAAGCGTACTTAATTGAATTAATCCGTCTTACGGAACCGCCGAAAGTCAAAACATCTGGCGGAGCCACGATTGGAAATCTGGGCATCCCACTGTCCCCTCGGGTGTGCTAACAACTGGATTACTCCTCCTGGACTTTCTGGCGTTTTCTATTTGTCTTTTTAATGCACAGGAAACGAAATGTACCCAATTAGATGTGTTCTGGAAGCACACGCCGCTACATGGAACGCGGTACAACGTTTGCTGGTACGTAATACGTGCTCTTCTTTTTTTTTTTTTCGGTGTTGTGAATTTTTTGGCGGTTTCGTAAAACTTTGATTTATTCGATCAAGTACGGTGCGTTCATCTGCACATTTTCGGTTATTTCCATGTATAGGACATGGCACTTAGAATATCAGTCAGTCTAGGACATGGCAAAGAACAGAATTGCAGGATGGAAGTTAAATTACCTTGGATTAAGATGTAATAGAAGGAAAACGTTATGTCTAATATCCCTGTGTAGTCGCTGATTGTAGTCGATCTGTAAAATAATAATAATAATCGGTCGCACCAGTCGGTCTCATGTTTAGAGATTTGTGTTTGTCTTTTGTCCCTTTTGATCCCATTCTCAAAAGATTATTGTCGTCATTCTTGTTCAGCACGCTTGCACCTTTGCAGTAATTGCATTATCATCATAACCTTAAAATGCAAGGCCTTACTCCTGTTGGAATCAGGCTGGTGGTAGCTGATAAAGCCCGTTTGCTCTACTAACATTTAACTCGTGATTAGCTCAGTTAGTAGAGCGTTCCACTGTAAATGGACAGGTCCCGGGTTCGATACTAGTACCAGGCGGATTGTTGCGGTCGCGCACCAGTCACCTATAGCTGTGTTTGGAGATTTGTGTTTATCCTTTGTCCCTCTTGTTCCCCTTCTCCAGGGATTATTTTCGTCGTCCTTGTCCAGCTCGCTTGCACCTTTGCATTTATTGCATTATAAGCGTAAATTATATTTTGAAATTCAAACCTTGCACGCATTTAGCATCCTTACAACGTTTCTGCTATAAAAGTCTAATTATGCAAAACATTTCGTTTTAGGCAGCGGCAGCCTGTTTGATCTCGAAGATGCGGTTTACTCATTCCTCGTCACAAATTGTTCTAACAGTGAAAGACTAGTAACTTTCGATATCACTGGAGATAACAAGACCCGAGGCCTCAAGGCCGGCGAAACCATGGACACGTACGTTATGCTATATTTTTCTTCCGAATAAGAAACGATAATTCGTTAATTATTAGAAACATTGGGGTAAAGAAATCTAACGGATCACTCTCAATTGCTTTTTATTACCAAAAAAAAAAACTGCTTTGAACAATTTCTATATATGTGGCTTTCAGTGTCCTTCGCGGTGACTGTTTGTGCAGTCTCTTTTGCTAATTTACAGAATGCCCAAGGCAATATGCATAAGCCACTAAACCCTGCAAGGAATCATTTGCGCTAGTGCGCTAATTATGCCAAAGCGAAAATCTTGTCATTTCACTAAAGCGAAGTAATGTGAAAAGCCCTCACTACTGGGGATGTTGTTAGTCTAAGAAATCAAAAAGATGTAGAAATACGGGAAAAAACAATAAGTACCTTCAGACAAATAACGCTCGTTTCTTCAACGTACCGGTTAAATTGTCTTTATTTCGCTATCAAATGTTACATTCATTAATATCGTCTGAATCTTTACGCACACAACACTATTTAATCACTATGTAGTGGCTATTATTTGTGATTACTTCTAAGCAAAACGTATACCCTTTAAATGTGACACGATTGCATTTAAGTACTAGTTAAAATACACTGTCGGCCTACCTGAGCAACCCTTGTAGCCTGTTCAAGTATGCTCACAAGAAGGCACCATGGCAACTGACAACACTGAGCGTAAGCAGTCCGTAGCATTTCATTAACGCGCTGCAGCCAATGAGATTTCAGCATTAGCCAATAAGAACGCCGACGGACGAATGACGAATCAAGAATCGTGAACATAAGCCGCACCCTGTGTTTCTCAAGCTGTAACTGAACATAGTGCATCACTTCGAGCTCTAAAGTAAAATCCTCGGTTGGTAATCAGTTGAAGATCATGAGTGAAATCCCCATCGGGCTCTAAAACCCATTTGACCACTGTGGCGATAAAATCGGAAGCCTTATTGTTAATGATCCTATATTAAACGCACGCTTGGCGTCATAGGTGCCGACTACGGCGGGGAAGGGGGGGGGGGGGGGGGGGAAGCCCCTCTTTTCCCTTTTCAGATATTTCGGACTGTTAAAGAAAACAATACGGGGAAAGAGGGCGTGGTCGAGCTTATTTTAATCTGAAATTATTTATGCATATGTTTAGCTACTGTCGCTCTTCACTGCATAAAAGATCGCGTAGATGGTCATCCTCGACAACTCGTTGTCAGAAGGCACTACTTGTCACATGCTTAGTGGTTCGGAAGTTCACAGCTATGTCTTTTCGACCAAAATGACTGTGCCATTGATACAAAAATAAAAATAAAAATAAACATAACAATAAATGCGGGGATAAAAAGCTGGAGACAAAACAAAAATTATCAAGAACCCGCCGGAAATGTTCGATTCTTGCATATTCAGAGGCTCAGAACTTCGAAACAAGTTTTTCCTACCAAAATGGGTACAAACTAAAAGAAACACGTCCCAAAAACGTGAAGCGAAAAAACAAATGTTTATTTTTTAATGATGTATTAGATATATTTTCCCATGAGTTAATTTATTCCTGAACATGAAAAAACAATAAATAGATTATTTTGCATTCTGCAGATGGCAATAATATGTACTGTCTGTAGTGTTAATTTAATTGCGATACATCAAACAACTTAGACGAAAAAAATACCAAGTTTAGGGCATAATTATCCGTAGATACATGTTTAGACATTTCTTCGAAAATTATTTTGAATAACAATAATCACATCTTAAGACGACACTTACCTAGGCTATACATATATCATTCTTTAAAAGTTTAACATCTCTACCATAAATAGCTTCGGCTATAGCGCGCTTCAAATATGGCACAGACGACAATCGTCAAAAAACCGTCGTCCTTCCTCGCCGCTTAGGGAATTTATTTCTTTAAAACTAAGCATGCCAGAACATTGAAATAAACGTCATTGTCTTTCGTAAGGAACGCAGCACCGCATGTAAAAATTCGAGAAAAAAAAATTACGAATGTACCTCACTACTTGAATTCAAATGAAACCGTCCGCCGGTCTTTCGAAGTTCGACGAACGTCGAACTTTTACCCTAAAAGGTCGAAGTTTGTCGAACCTTTGACATGTCAGGATTCGAAAATTCGAAACTTCTCGATTTCTCTTGAAAAATAAGTTCGAAAGTACGAAAATTATCGAATATCTTAGCGTAGGAAATTCGAAAGTTCTAAAAGCTTCGATTTTTAGTGCACAAAGTTCGAAAGTTCGAAAATCATCGATTTTTTTTTCTCTGTCAAGTTCGAAAGCTCGACAAGCATCGAATTTTGCAGCGTAATAAGTTCGAAAAGGTTCGAATTCTTTAGCGTCGTAAGTTCGACGGTTCGAAAAGCGTCGAACTTCTTAGTTTAACAAGTTCGAAAATTCGACTTCCTTCGAATTTTACAATATAGAAAGTTCGAAAATTCGAAATTTTTTGAACCGCTTGATTCGATAGTCGAAACTTAGGTTCAAAAAAAGTTCGCGGCATCGCTACCTACAAGTCATATTGGGGGTTAAAAGCGCTAAAAACGACGGACGAGTAGGAGAGACACACACCACAGAGCGCTTGGTGTGCTATGATCTGTGGTGTGTGTCTCTCCTACTCGTCCGTCGTTTTTAGCGCTTTTAACCCCTAAACATGTTCAAACAACTAGCCCAAATCCACACCCTTCATATTGGGGGATCGATGGCTGAGTGGACTAACGCACACCAGCTCGGAGCACCTGGAGCGCAAGTTCGCGCTGCACAACCCAGGGATCCTGAGCTCAATCCCCACACCCCTGCCCGTTTCGATCTGGATGAGCATCGTACCGGCGTCGTTCCTGTATCACTACTGCGGGGTGCTCGTTAAAAGACCCCGGCATAGCGGTTACTGGCTAAATTTCTGATCTACAGCTGAAAGGCAAGTCGCCCATTGGTGCTGACCAACTTCCGGGTGTATAAACATACATACAACACAAATACAAGTCCTCTTTTTTAAATCGCCGGCTGCATGACTGTGCTTTCTTTAGGATGCACATCGTGAGAATATACTTAGGTGCGCCATTTTGTACCACGGCATGTGCTTCGTAATGCGTGTTGTTTTCTGTTAGTTAAAACAAACATTTATTGATACACTTTTTCTTTCTACCTCGACAGCTTGTTAGAGGTCCCTCCGGGGCTTTGAAGCTCGACATGGTATAGTTGGAAGGCTTTCATCGTCAAAATCGCAAAACGCTCAAAATAAAAAAAAAAAAAAGCTCCTGAGAATTCGTTTTGGTTTTTTCACAAGTGAATCCCGGATTCGCTGACAGTGAAGTGTACGCACCAGCAGAGAGCCGCGCCAGTTGCTTCAAAGCACGCCGCGTAATAAACCGCGCGAGCTGATAAGAGCTGCAGATATCAGTCTCGCGCAGTTCCCGCTAGATGCCCGAACTTGCGGAGAGCTATAGCTTCACGCCACCCTAGTCTCACGTCACATCATTTAGACTTTAAATGATGTGGCGTGAGATTCCGGTGGCGGTAAGTATTTTATACATACAGAAAACCTCTAAAGTTTAGAAAGTTTCTGTATGTACGAAATAAATGAGTGGGTCATTTTCCGAGCAAGCATTGGGCATTATTTCTACACGAAAAGAGCAAGGTATACAATAATATTGCTTCAACCAGGTTTTAGAGCTTTTGCTGTGACTGCACTGTAAATTAAAAAAAAAACATTCAATTTTTAGTTGTTTTTCCTTTAGACTGCATTATCCTTCGAGGATCTTATGCACTGTATTTCTCACCATAGACTAGAGCTCAAGAAGAAAACAAGGAAAAAAAAAAAAAGAAAAACTCCGAGGGCACCTAAGAACTTCTCACGAGTTCTGAACGCGAAAACACGAATGTCTAATCGAATGCCACTAAATGCTCCCCCACACCCCTCTTGGCCCTCGTGGCCTCTGGCGAGCGCGCGCCACCGTGTTAAGTGGGGCCGCAGCGCCATGGGGTGGCGTTCCTTGAAACTAAGGCGCGGCGGGGGAGTTTATCTTCCGTTTCGTTGCTACAGGCTACATACAGGCTTCGCTCCATCGGACAGGAGAGGTTAGGCGTCGCTTGGCGCGCCGTCAAAAGCTGATAACGCCAGTTCCCTCCATGAGACGGTCAGTGTTTTCGCAAAAAAGGTCGGAATTCCGAGTACTTTGTTGCGCAAGAAGTCACCATAAAAAGGAAGGTTTCAGCTTTATTTAGACGTTAATTCTTTCACCATTTTTTTTTGCTGTTATTGTTTTGTTCTGCCGTTTTTGTGTTGTCACTAAACGAAATATAACAATATTGGTTGAAATATTAACGAGTATTGTTTACTATACTTCGTTTCAGCTTAGGTCCGAGCGCGGCCGATGCCAAGAGCCGAACGACCAATCAAACAGCGAAAGAGGCACAACGTCATGGCGTGCTGTCTGCAGTTGATAGGACCAGCCGGTAATCGCCGTCTCTCTGTGCGCGCTCCTCAGCCGGCTAGTCTTATCAAGCGCAGAGAGCACGCCATGACGCTGCGCTTTTTACGTTGTTTGCTTGGCCCTTCGGCTCGTAACATCGGCCGCGCTCGGACCGAAGCTGAAACGAAGTATACCACTTTTGATTTACATTTGAGACTCAATCCATTGCATCATGGACAACATCAAAGTCGATGATAAGAGATAGGTCTCATTACTTATTCGCGTTGACCGCGCAACAGTGATCCGCCTTGACGGGTAACCATGGGCATGCGATTAAACTCATTGCGTTGCGGTGCATTGTCACTATTCTTCGATGCAGGCACCCACCTGTGAAGATTAAAGTCGGCCCGGTGAGGTACGGCAAGGCCCAAGTTCAGTCCCTACAGCTGTCTGCTGTGTATGTCCAGATTTTTCACAACAACCAAAGTGGCGTGGTGGGTAATGCTTACATATCAGAGGAAGTAGAGCACAAAGACGAATACACGTGGACTGTCACCAAGGGAGTAGAGTTCACTACTACAGTCAAGTTCAGTGTAAACATTCCACTGGTATATCAATTCAGCTCAGAACTTTCGACATCCTTGAAGACAACTTCTGGATCAACCACGGTCGAAACACGAACTACGCGACAATCGATTACACAAGATGTGATAATACCTCCTGGAACCACCATTGAAGCAAAGTGGTATGTCAACGAAGCGCGAGTGGTGCGTACAATTTGATATCTTTTTTTGTGAATTACCAGTTTAAACCTTATAGTGCGAACGCACTTTATCTATAGCTACGCCGCTTGTTAGACACCTTTCTGTTGAGTGATCTACATAAAACATGCACTAAGGTAATTTTTATGCTAATTCAAGGGTGCAAGCAAGCTGGTTAAGAACTGTCGATTTCAATCCTGGAGGGTGTGAAAATAGGAAAAAAAAAACACGAATTTTTAATTACAGCGGAGGTTTATTTACCAAATTACAGCCTTAAGTAGACAACCAAGATTTTAAAAAATTCGAACAGTCTAAAAGAAGGCACAGACGACAACGTCGATGTCACGCGTACCTCACTAGAACACACGTATCTAAAGGGGGTACCCACCAGACCCCCAGCGAATACTCTGCAACTGGAAGCTGTTAGATTCCACCTTTATACGTATAAGAACAACTTAGGACATAGTCAAGGTAAAAAAACGTTGTCTCCCTTGCCTTCTTTCTTTTTTAGGGGGGGGGGGGTGGAGGGGCGGGGAAGGGGGGTTGTTATTGTTGTGGGTCTATATATGGTTCTGTTAGGTAGTTAGTTGGTTGACCTCTTTCATGTTGTGGCTTAGCGGTAATTTGGTTGTTCACCTTGAGTTAGTTGGTCTTATACGTATCAGATGAAATCTACCATCACCTAGTTGCGGAGTTTGGGTTTAGGGGATAAAGCGTACCCTTTTCAGATGCGTGTATCCTCGTAAGGTCAGCGTGACGTCAACGTTGTCATTCTTGGCCTGTTCGAGATCTTTATCTTGGTTCTTCATTAAGGTTGTGTTTTGTCAAATAAACCTCAGCTGTGTATGAAGATTCGCGTTGTCCTATCCTCCTGTTTCCCCATTCTCCAAGCTTAAAAAAAGATGTCATATATCTTTTTTTTTTATAAACCCAATCGAGAAAATAGCTGAATAATTACTGACGTTTCAAAACATCATGAAGCATAAACGTTTCAAAGTTTGTGGGTATTTTAGGTAAAAAAAAAAAAGGAGCATGTCGATACACACATCCGTAACAGCGATAGCTGCGGAAACTCACGGCGGGGTTTTTCGGCCTCGGTGTCGCGTTGAGGCACCGTGGGGTGAAGATCGTCATGATGGCGAAGCGCCTTGGCTTCGTTCTTTCAAGCATCCAACTCACCGTTCTCCCGGCGACGAACGGCGAAACGCGTCAGCGTCGCCGAGCAGCGCGTCATTTAGCGTCTCAAAACAAGAACGACGCAAACAAGTGGCGATGCCAAGACGCGCGCGTCTGCACCTTTGCGCCGCACTATCGTCAAGCTTCAGCGCGTTTTCTGCTTGGGGCAGCTCAAGAATTCACTAACGATGACGTAATGCGCATGCCTGTCTTCTAGGTGGATGGATGGATACTGCTGAAGCCTTTTAGTTGAGCGGAGGCCTGCACTACCCAGCCGAAGCTTTTAATTTCAACAAACAGCTCGAATTAAATTTGAAATTATATAATGATGTTGAGGAATTTTCTATGGGGACGCCACAGAAACTGTGGCCATCTGGCGGGCGTTAGACGAATCTCATACTCCCGACCTCTGCTAGAAACCGCGCCACTGTGCGGTTTCTAGCAGAAGCGTTTTGCATAGATATTATATATGTGGCACCCGATCTGTTTCTGATCAATATGAGCTTGGTTAAGCACAGCTCTATACAAAACGTTAAAAGTTGCAGTTTGTGCTAACTTTGTTTACACAAGGCCCGTAAATTGAGAACAGCAATGCCTTCCACGCGTTGGCGACAACAGCCGGTGATCTCCTTAATACCAGTTCATCTGCTCGATCCGCCAGCGAGAGAAGAGCGACCTGATAATAAGAGTAAAAAATGCCTACCATGTAAATTTTATTAGACACTGAAACAGGTAAATGTCGTCCCCTAGTGAATTCCGGAATGTCAGAAACACCGATCCTTCGAGTAGGCATATTCCAGCGCAGTTGAACAAAGAATATGGTGGTGTGTGGCCGTCGTTGTCACCTACAGCTGAGGGGAACACGATTGAATCCAGGATCCGAGGATCTCATGTGTGTCGAATAACTTGAGAACAGATACATAACGACGCTGGACGCATGTTGGTTTTCGAATATCAGGGTGCCAAACCTTTACTCCGAAGCGAGATCGAGAAATACCTCGATAGCATGTTTAAATACCTAGTAAGTGCGCCTGAACTTTTAAAATGCCTACCAACCTAATTTGGCCTCACGGCTGCTAGCATGTTCGAATAAAATTAAACTAAAATCTCGGCCGCAGGAGGCCGCAGAGGCTACCAAGATGCTGCGGGCGCATAGAAGGGGTCGGAGCGGACACCCCTTCACTCTGCGACGCAACGCCGTCACTGCCCGTTGGTGGCGCGGCCAACCAGCTGCCAACAGAGCCGTATATGTAGAGAGTTTGGTCAATGGGAGGCGCGGGCAGAGCCAGGGCGTGCGGCAGACTCGGAAAGAGGGCTTGGCATGCTCTCTTGACCAACCACAAGCCGAAAAGAATCCCCTAGCGGTGGTAGCGAGAAACAGTTCTGAGCCGATCGATCATCGAAGTCTCTGTTCATATATGGTTTTAATAAGTGCGTAAGAGTGAAGTGTAGTAACTCTTTGTAGTTGAAAATAGGGTTCACGTGTTGTTTTATCATGATCATGCAGAAAGATGTAAGAAACGAATGCGCCGCTCAACTCTGTTTTGCGCGGACAGAGTGTGACCGCTCTGACGGCAGATTCCTGGCGCTCGGCGTTTGGCGTAAGGATTATGTCGATCTTTCCGCTAGTCGCACTCTTCCACCATCATTTTAGATGAGTGTGATTGAAACATCACGTGTACCATATTTTCAGCCATCGAGAGTTACTCCAATGCAGTTATCAGGTTTGTTTCTCGCGACCACCGCCAGGGTATTATTTCCGGCTTCTGGTTGGTCACATTCGAATTTCTGAAGACGCCCTGGAACACGCCCAGCCCGCTTTCGGCCAATGGCGCCTCCTCATTTGTCTCCTATACTTCCCAACGAATGGCCAAACTCTCTACATATACGGCTCTGCTGCCAAGGCTGACTAGCGCGCTCCCTTGAGGAATCGCGCCCTCAAACAACTTCAATTCTCCCCGAGAAGGGAACTCGGAAAGCTGCTCTTCGCCCCTCAGACGTTTCAGCTCACGGCAGTGAGGGCTGCCCTCTACCCGCTTTTTAATACCCGGATTAGTGAGAAACGTATTTTTTTAACCATTTTTTGCGTATTAAAATTTTAACCCTATAGAGTGTGCTAGTGGATAGTGTCGATACCTCCGATAAGAGTACCCTATACTCCGACGACGTTTTTGCGCATGCGTTGTATTGTCATCGGGTATCGTCACTGGAGATATCGGAACGATTTACTGAAAGTCTCTAATATCACATTTGAAGCTCTACATGCCATTTGTAAATAACCCAACGATCCATATAATTCAACAAATCTGGATTACATTTTTCCCCTAATTTACATTCGGTTTAAGATCTCACAAAACTGGTGGTCCCATCGCCTGGATTGCGCTTCTTAAACTGGTGAGTCAATTAAAACTCGGATCACACCATAATAATTTTCTACTTTTTTTTTTAGGTTGTGCCATGGGAGGCAGACATCTATTTGGAGGGAACCGTTGCAGCATTATTTGAAACACCTAACAGAGCTTTAACATGGAAGTACTTCAATGTGACCGATATTAAACATAAATATTTACAAAGAAACGGAACGTCCGTCCTATTCCGGGCATCGGGACTGTTCCAAGCAAACGTAGCTCAGAGTTACCACCTTTCCACTACCCAGAAAGAATTAACGCACCGCACAGCGAGATTGGCCAAATATATTTTCGAGCAAGAGAGTTAGTGAATCATGACCAAACGAATTGAAAGGGTTTTTGGAATAAATAAAGACTGAAGAGAACAGTTTGAATCTTTACTTTTTTGCGAGTGACCACTAAGAATTTTCAAACATTGCTTTTTCCCCGCAAACGGTATTTCGTTTGTATAGGGGAGTTAAATTTCTCAAGCAGATAAGCTAAAATATAGTTTGATTACATGGTAAGTTCTCGCTATATTTCCCCGCAAATGAAAAAAAAAAGTACTTAGAATCTAAACATATATAATGACAATAAAAAGATATGCGAAATTTAATATTAGTTTTCGTTTTTTATAGAGCGAGAACAACAACGTTGATTGATTGCTCCCAAGGTAATCTCGTGGCTGATCTTGGGTGGAAAACCAAAACCGGAATATACTGACCTATAATAGTTTAGAGATTAAATGAGTATTAGAGGTTAAGAAGAAATTTCTATAGATAATTGTGAATTTTACAAAATGTTAATGTCGCCTTATCCTTACTCTTGCAATCTGGTATGTGTTTGCTTTAAGTGCATGTATGAAAGGTTTTCATGGGTTCTTTTCTGGCTATGGAATTGCGAATGCGAAGGTAATACGACTCTTCCCAAAATACTTTATAATTGTATTCACAGAGTTAAATCCAGAATATACAAAGGAATAAAACGAACAATGCTTTTACGATGAAACAAGATATAGCTTCTGAAATAAGGTTTAATAAGGAAATGACAGAGACCGTTTATAGAACATCCCAATGTTTACAAACAAGTTCGCGTTTGCCCACAGCCAGTGTGGCCATTGCGCGTACGGCAGAAACGAAATTCACACCAAGTGAATTGTCTGCGCATGTGCCGCACCGACAACACCGACACAGCAGCGGCGCAACTTAAATTAGTGTAGAGGCTGTTTCGCGTTACGTCCGAAGCTACGATCACGACCACGTTCACCTGCAACGACTTGGAAGCGAAGTTAAAATCATCAACACCGTTGCCCCTAGAGACGACGCAGGCCGAAAGCATGTCCTTGGGCATAACTCGGCAGGGTGACACTCCAAAGACTATTATAGTTTGTTGCAGGTTAAGAATCGCAAAAAACTCATCCCGGCAAATCCTTCAACTTGCATCAGGACGCTGTGTAGCACAACTGCAAAGCTGTCAGGTTGAACTTTCAAGTCTTCAAGATATGCTGTGCAGACACGTATGGCAATGAACAGTTGGCGGAGTTGCGTGACCTTCTTTAAGCTGGTGATTCTCGGGAGACTGAGAAGGTGGTCGATCTGTTCGGCAATCAAGTTATCTCGTCTTCCGAAACGGTCATGCGGCGGACGCACCGCCAGTAAGTGTTGTACACGTTCCTCGAAAAAAGGAACGAAAGCTCGTTCCTCGTTCCTTTTGATATTTCGAACGCGTTCCCGTTACTAGTTCCATATCGAAAAAAGGAACTCGCTCTCGTTACAGTTAAAAAAATGGAACGTATCGTTACATATACGTTACATTTGTATTTTGCTGATTACCATATTGAGTTGGATCGAACCAAGTTTTATATTTTTATCTATGCCATCAAATGCCAACGTAAGAATTTGAATGCCGTGATGGAAAGACACCTGGAGAAGAAATCAAGCGGAAGCAGAGATTTATCTCATGATATATACAATATTCACCATTAAAAATCTAAACTTTTAACCATATTCATGTTTGTGGTGGGTTATGCAGGCGAGCCAAATGCACGGTTGCTTTGCGCGAGCGTTTTACAACAACCTCGTACATTTCAATCTAACAAAGTCCCTTGTTCCAACTTAACAACAGTTGCTTATCGATGTTGCTGTCTGCAAGACGAGCGAGTGAAGAAGAGGGTAGGTCTTTTGGGAGGTCAGTCTTGAAAACTAAAAGTCCTTCTTCGTGAAGGTTGGATTCGTTGTTCAGTTTGAAGGAGAAGTTTGAGGAAGGGGAGAAGGAATAACGATAAATTTTTGTGTATTTCTTAAGTGACCAATGTTCGGGATAGAAGAGTGCGTTCAATGTCTAGTAACCTGCTCTTTTGTTGTAACTGTGGTTCTCTTTGAGCAAGTTCAGTGGCGGCTGTAGTCGGCCTCAGATTTCTGCGTCTATGAGGATTTGTGGAAGCAAAGGAAGTAGCTGAGTTTAAAACGTCCCTCTTTGTGCCTTTTCTTTTTACTAAAGGTTTAGGTTTTGTTCTTTCGACTGCAGCCTCTGGCACTAAAAATATAATTAATGTCTACTAGCTTTCATGTACCCAACCGTTACCAAGTGAGAACCACACAAAATAAACCCTAATATAAGTAACCAAAACGTTAACGAGATTCTGCTCTTCGTAAAGACATTGTTTTTATACTTTTAAAATTTCCCTCTTAGAAACAAATTAAAAATTACCCCAGTAGCGAAAAAAAGGAACGCCGTTCTTTTTTCCGTTACAGTAAAAATGTAAAAAGTTCCCGTTCCAGTTCCTCCGATGCCAAATGGAACGGCTGCGTTCCTTCGTTCCTCCTAAACAGAACGCGTTCCAGGAACGCCGTTCCGTACAACACTGCCGCCAGTGCGTCATTCTATTCGGAGAGGCGAATGTCTTCGGCCGCTCGCCTTGCGTTGTCAGTGAGTTATGTGATAAAGTACTTGAATTGAGGCTCCCCGAAAAGGTTATCTGGAGCTTTGGAACTGCGACTGTCCGCTGGCTCCGGATCAGAGGGTCCCTGCTCCTAGGAGCAGGGACCCTCTGATCCCTGCTCCTAGGAGGCAGTGACCACACTGCCAATGGAAGCGGGCCGCCGGACTGTAGAGTGGTCATCATGGTCAGCACGCGCGAGTTGATGGTCAGAAGTTGGACTCTGGAGTCCAGGGCGTGTTAAACGCGTGTGATGCCTCGGTTGAGTGATAAGCGGTAGTTTTCGGCCTTGCTGAGTTTGTCGTCGAGCTCTTCATCTGTTGAGGCCAGATTGTCTCGGTCTAGGTCGACCAGCCCAGTTTGCTTTTCGATCAGGTAGTCCAGTTGTATTCGCAAATCAAGCTCTGTCGAGTCCGCCTACTCAAACAGAGCGTCAATCTGGGCGAGCGTCCGGGTCACGGCGGTGTGGACAACGCCACGAGTCTTTCGCAAGCGTTCCATTGTCTCTCGATTGGTTTTGGCATCAAAATATAAAGGAAAGAGAACCCGAGTCGTGTCCACTCGGATGGCCATTTATCGAAACACCGCCCCTGTGGAGTGCCCACTCTCTGGCGCCCCCGACTCCCCCCGCTTCTTCCCCTTCATTTCTGAACAAACACGTCTAGAACGAGCAGGAGCTATATATTATTGAATATTTAAAGCGCGATCATGGAGAATGCAAATAAAGCACAAGTCTTGGACGACGTGTCTGTTTACTCTCGAATTTCCCCCAAAAACGTTATTTTGCTGTCGATTTTGTCGAACCCGACGTTCGAGAACATCACTTGCTTAGGTTTATTTAAGCACTAGTTAAAACGTTGATCTTGGCTGCGGCAAAATAGCGATGCTACACTGCGGGTGCCGAGTAACGCAACATCGCCGACGTCAACTCGATTTCGCTTTCTCATTGCTATTGCTGTAACGAAAAGCAAAATCTTATTTATTGCGATGGAACTCAAAAGCTAGTCTGCCAAACGTCATGTCTTACGAAAGCGACGTCGGAATGCAGTCTTTGCGCTAGCATTGAGAAAATCGTCGCTTGTCGGTGAGACATCCGGCATCTGTGTTCTGCAGGGGTCAAAGCTAGCTCTAACCGATCTGAGCCCTTCGCAACGCCTGGAAAATATTATACTGGCTGCCGTTTATATTACGAGAACCCGGAGCTTTCTAACGATTGAAGCTAACGCCAGTAACGGCGTAAAAACGTGTTCAAACATGCAACCCAGGCAAAAAATATCGCTAACATATATCGGCGTATTGCGTGAGCTCCGCACATTGTTGCTGGACCTCCAAGTAGTTCGCGCATCATCTATTTTGTGGGATTGTGACCTACGCTTTATCGGTCAGCAATCATCGCAAAGCCTTTAAAAGAGGCACCCGATATCGTGATATCTGAAAATAAAAGCGGTGACATCGCCAGAGTACTGGCGACAAGCGGGATAATCGCTATAAGTAAGAATGTGAACGATATATATGACCGATGAGCACAAGGGTGCAAGCTTGCAAACCAGTGCACAGACGACACACCTCCTGTATAGGACATAAGAAATGCCCGGCTGTCGTTCTCGCAATTTTCATCACCTCCAAGTAGAGCTCTAAGAAAGAGAAATCTTTCGCGGAACTATGTACGCGTGCCCGACTTCCAGGTATGTACGTTTGAAAGAATAATTCTGCTAGGCATGCCAAATGTGCAGGTCCTCAGATAGGCGGTATCGGTCCGACCCCAGCTGCCGATATTAAAGATGTTTACGACCCGCAGATTTCAGATGCGTCAGGCTTAAAGTATAGAGCAAGAATCAAGAGCTCACCGCAACACCTCCGAGAAAAGAAGACCCGAGTGCTTGCCTGCGTCACTAAATACGGCCACTGTAGGGAAGATATTGGACGCGAGTGCAGAGTCAGCGTTCGGCTGTAACTCGTGCCCAATCAGGGAGAACGCGACTCCTAGCCTAACGCTGACGCCGTAGTCGTGTCCAATCTCTGGCCTGCGGTGGCCTTTGTTAGTGACGCAGGAAAGCACTGAGGCTTCCTTGAAGTGAATGTAAGGGCGCGAACGAACGGGTTTAGATTGAACATAACGTAGAGACCGATATTGCAGTCTCGGGGTTTATGTCATGCTTGGGCTTTCTTATCTATACTCCGTTTCATCTTATGTTGTACCGCAGACAAGGCTAGAAGCGCGAGCTCATAGCGTTGGGAGCTGCTCTTAACGCACGAGAGCTTGTGCCGCCGAGATGTGCCCTAGAGCAAGGAGCTCGCGCTTGTAGCCTTTCCTGTGGTACATCATAAGGTGAAACAGAGTATAGGAGGCACGGGAGGAGCCACGCGCGATTCTTCAAGCTCCAACTTCGTCA